ATTCAAGTCCCAGCCTGCTGCATCAGGTGCTTTTCTCTCCTTTCCAAAAAACACCTTTGCTTTCTGTTCGACATTTGTGGTTTGAGTCCATTCTTCAGTTTGAGAGACCAAGCAAGAGCTCTTGAACACATCAGAACAGTTACAACAATAGGCTATATCTCACTGCTCTCTTTTAAGCTGGAGAAGTGTAAAAGGTACCAGACCTTTCTGGCAAGGGATCATTTGAGCAGTCAATTAGCAATTCAACTTCAAGAGGCCTGCTGGTGTGGTGGATTGTGTTGGGCTGCTAACCCTGTAGGTGGGCATTTCAAAAGCACCAGGAGCTTTGCAGAAAAGTAAGGCTATTTACTCTTGAGTTAAGAGTCTCAGAAACCCCCAAGGGTAGTTTTACTCTGTCTTTTAGGGCCACCATGAGTCAGAATGAACTCAGTGGCAGTTGTTTTTTTAAGTCCCATGGCACTGAGCATATTTCTTGCTTCATGGCCAGATTCTGCTCTTTATATATCATTCTCTTCTTCCCCTTTTGCCCCCTTCACATAAATTCTTTTGTCTCTGTAACTCCTCTCCTCGAACCTAGTCTTTAACTATGAGCACATATTTTAGTTCTTTAATTATGTTATTTCTTTGGGAAGCTGATCCTGTTTTCCAGGTTTAACTCCCTCGTGTGCCTTGGTGGTTTAATGGGTTATGCTTCGGGTTGCTAACCACAAGGTCAGCAATTCAAACCCATGAAGCAATCTGTTCCTTTAAAAATTTATGGCCTCAGAAACCCAAAGGGGCAGTTCTCATCTACTGTCTAGAGTGACTCTGAGTCAGAAGATCTGGTGATGTGGTCTATAAATCTTACAGCAGAGAAAACACTACAGGGTAGTTCTCCTGAATTGAGTGGGGCTGTCATGAGTCTGAATAGACCCTATGGCACCTGAACAAACGCAGCCATGTATATCCGAGGCCCGATGTAATACACAGTACTAAATATTGAACGGTTTGAACTTAACCTGGAGATGCCCCAGGAGAGACATGGCTACATTTCTGAGAGCCCTAGGGAGTTCAAATCTGCATACATGGGGTTATAAGATGGGTACTTGACAGCAGCAAATTTAAAGGGCATTTGAATTAATCCACTTTAATGAGTTCTTTTTTCCAAAGGAGTCACCTGAGGCTAAGAAATTTATCCTTGATCCAGATTCTCAGAAACTAACGGGGCAATTTACTGTCTTATGGGGTTGCAAGGAGTCAGTATCACCTCGATGGCAGTGCGTTTGGTTTCAGCTGACCCAATTAGTGACTCAGCACCAGAATACTGTTTCCAGTCTCTCAGTTCATTGTGTTTTCCAATACATAACCCAAGTTAGTTAGCAAAACCCACCTTACTAAATGCAGTCTCTAGGATTTTTATAACTTGCTACATTGCTCAGAGACAAACAGGTTGGATATAGCAACAAAGTCCACATGGAAGCACACCAGCCTGTAGGTATCAGGCATCATCAGAACAAAAAATTATACCATTGTGAATGAGGGAGAGTGTGGAGTGGAGACCCAAAGCCCATCTGTAGGCAATTGGACATTCCCTTACAGAAGGGTCGCGGGGAGGAGATGAGCCAGTCAGGATGCAGTGTAGCAACGATGAAACATACAACTTTCCTCTAGTTCCTAAATGATTCCCCCTTTTCCCCCCTGCCCCCTATCATGATCCCAATTCTACCTTACAAATCTGGCTAGACCAGAAGATGTACACTGGTACAGATAGGAACTGGAAACACAGGGAATCCAGGGCAGATGATCCCTTCAGGACCAGTGGTGAGAAGGACAATACCAGGAGGGTAGAGGGAGGGTGGGGTGGAAAGAGGGAACCAATTACAAAGGATCTACATAAACCTCCTTCCTGGGGGATGGACACGAGCAAAGTGGGTGAAGGGAGACGTCGGACAGTGCAAAATATGACAAAATTATAATTTATAAATTATCAAGGGTTCATGAGGGAGGGGAGAGCAGGGAGGGTGGAGAAAAAAATGAAGACCTGATGCTAGGGGCTTAAGTGGAGAGCAAATGTTCTGAGAATGATGAGGGCAATGAATGTACAAATGTGCTTTACACATTGATGTGTGTATGGATTGTGATAAGAGTTGTATGAGCCCCTAATAAAATGATTTTTTTAAAAGGCCAAATAAATCTAAGTGTCTTATTAACCTGCTATCTAATTAGTCAACAGAAACATCCTGAAATAGGCCTAAGAGTTAAAGAAGCTTATGGTTCAGTTTGCTTGCTCAGTCAATGACTGTTACCCAAGGTGACCCTGAAACCAGAGTTAATGTAAAATATCTGTACATGACACCCCATTGTGTAAATTCCAAAGTTAAAAGTTATATGCTCTCAATCAAGACACCACTAAGATAGTGTGTGTGGCTATTGGCCACCTTGCTAGTAACCTAATAAACTTCTCTTTCTTCCTAACTTGGGAGTCAGTGAATTGGGAAGGCTGTGCCAAGAACGATTGTTTGATTAAGTTGCTAGGGATTACCTTCCCATTAGGGATAAAGTGAGCCATCTTAGTTACAAGGGGTGGAATCTCACTTCCAGCAAGAAAAGCTAGCAGTGTCCTTCAGACCCTGACATCTGCTTTACCTTTCTGTCAGTCCTGATTCCAGGCACTTGAATTGTGGCTTCCTCTGACATGATTTCACCAACTTCTGTAGCCTTTGGGATGAGAAGAGCCCCCAAGCCAATGTCAAAATTTTACATTTACCAGCACCCACAACTACATGAGCTATTTTCCTTTATGTTGATTTCAGTGTGGCCATTAGAGCAAACTGGAAAACCTTGAGACATAGGGAATAAAACAAATGCAGAGTGGTGGCTTCTATCAGGGATTATGGAGCAGTTAGTTGGTGGGTTAGAACTGCTGACTGCTAACTTTCCTGTTAGGAAAGTATTTAGCCACAACACCAAGGACTCCTGTGTGCACTACGGCATGCTAATACTTACATATTAAAACTAATGATGTACAATTACTTGCAATGTACCAACAATTTATGGTGACTTGTCCAAAGGCAAGGGTCCCTGGTGACACAATATTGAGTATAGGGCTGCCAACTGTGAGGGTGGCAGTTCAGATCCGCCTGCCAATTTGTATTGTGGCAAAAACATATACATTCTCCAATTCAACAATTTCTATAACCACTACTGATATTCTTTCCAAAATTATTCTACCACCATTAACATAAACTCAATACCTCCTAAGCTAAAACCCCTCCTCCTTCACCATGGGTCATGCTTTTAAAAGTAGTTCTTAGTATTCACCTATCATATGCTTTCATAGTTAAAAGATTTGTATATACATCATCACTATCAGTTCTAATGCTACCTCTCCCTCCTGCATTGTTTGCCCCCCAAATCTCATCCTTCCCATCCTCCCCCAACAAACCCTTGCATCAGTTATTGTCTCTAAGCATTCACTCCTTCTGTGCTTCACAAACTGGGTAGAAAACCTAACAGAAACAATAAGACAAAAGCAGATTTGGCATTCTATGATGCTCACCTTCCCGAC